AAGCGTCTGCCTTTGGCTCAGGTCATGATCCCAGGGTCCTGGGATCGAGCCCCGCATCGGGCTCCCTGCTCAGCGGGGAGTCTGCTTCTCCCTCTGCGCCCCCCCACCCTTGTGCTCGCACTCTCTCTCTCTCTGATAAATAAATGTGGCCAAGTTAGAGAATGCACTGATAAACCTGGCCTGGGCTGGTGCTATGGACTGAGTTGTGTCCCCCCAAAATTAAAACCCTAATCCCTAATGTGACTGTATTTGGAAACAGCTTTTCAGTGGTCATTAAGGTTAAATGAGGTTATAACGATGGGCCCTAACGCAGCAGAACTGGTGTCTTATAAGAAGAGGAAGGGGCACCAGGGTGGCTCAGTCGATTGAGCCGGGACTCTTGGTTTTGGCTGAGGTTATGATCTCACGGGTCCTGGGATCCCACCCCAAGTGGGGCTCCTTGCTCAGCGGGGAGGCTGCTTGGAGAGTCTCTCCCTCTGCCCCTCTCCCCATGCCCGCATGCATGCGCGTGCCCTCTCTCCCTCTCTCTCTCTAAAATAAATAAATCTTTTTTTTTAAGATTTTATTTATTTGACAGAGAGAGACACAGCGAGAGAGGGAACACAAGTAGAGGGAGTGGGAGAGGGAGAAGCAGGCTTCCCATGGAGCAGGGAGCCTGATGCGGGGTTCGATCCCAGGACCCCGGGATCATGACCTGAGCCGAAGGCAGACGCTTAACAACTGAGCCACCCAGGCGCCCCTAAAATAAATAAATCTTAAAAAAAAAAAAAAAGATGAAAAGACAGAGCGGTCTCTTTCCATACATACACACACGCCAAGGAAAGACCTTGTGAGGACACAGCAAGAAGGTGGCCATCTGTGGGCCAGGGGGAGAGCTTGCACCTGGACCCTCTGTACCTTGACCTTGGGCTCTCCAGCCTCCGCAACTGTGGGAAAATAAATTTCTGTTGCTTAAGCCATCCAGTCTACGGTATATGGAGCCCCAGTTGACTAACACCGTTGGAGGTGGGGTGAGCCCTGCTCAAACCATGGGGACTGTGGGAGGGGTATCCCTCATGGAAAGTCACAACACTACGCTGGAAGAAGGGGGATGTTTAGCATGCAAAAACAACAGGTGGCCACCATTTGGGGATAAATCTCTTAATCCCTCACTTTGCTTCAATCTCCCCTATAATCTATGAAGGGGGGGTTAAGAAAGTAACATGTTCTTCCTAGCGGAAATGGTGGTGTGCTGTCTTCAGCCATACAAAGAAGGGCAACTCTCGATCATAGGTCAGCAAACACTTTTTGTAAAAGGCCAGAGAATAAATATTTCAGGCCCTACAGTCTCTGCTCTGACGACTTGGGTCTGCTGTTATAGACCCAAAGCAACTGTATTCATTTCCTGGGGCTGCCGGGGAGCTTAAAACAACAGAAATTTTTCTCTCACAGTTCTTGAGGGCAACGGGGCTATGCTCCCTCAGAAGCCTTTAGGGGAGGATCCTTTCTTGCCTTGTCCAGCTTCTGGTGCCCCAGGCCTTCCTTGGCTTGTGGCCACATCACTCTGCTCTAATCTCTGCCTCTCTCTTCCTACAGGCTTCTCCTCTGTATCTGTAACTTTTCTTTTTCTGTTTCTTGTAAGGACACGTGTCACTGGGTGTAATCCTAGTGATCTCATCTGGAGATCCTTAACTTAATTACGTCTGCAAAGATTCTCTTCCCAAATAAGTTCACATTCACAGGTTTCAAGGGTTAGGACGGGGACATATTTTTTGGGGGGGTGTATTAGAAGAGCCTCAGTTTTCCTTCCTATGTGTCTCCTTTACTACTCACACTGCATACCCCACTTCTGACATTTCTGGCCATCCAACATTGAGGGGGGTTCCCCACAACAAGCAATTCTCTGCCACACCAGCTGGGTGTCCGACAATTCAACTCGATTCTGACACTATCTCCCTGGAGATGGTATCAGATCCCACAGGTTAAGAGCTCAGTCCCATAAGACTGGCCCCCCCGCACTTCAGACACCAGTCACAAGAAGTAGGTCTCCCAGGTGACCCATTATTCTATCCAACTTGGCTATACATTGGAGATTCCTATAACCCCCTCCTTGGGTTTGATTAATTTGCTAAAACAGCTCACAGAACTCAGGAGGGCATGTTTACCAGTTTATTAAAGGACATGATAAAGATACTTCTGTCCCTGTGGAGTTGGGGTGTCCCCCTTTTTACAGGGTGTCTTGTCACCCTCCCAGTACATGGGTGTGTTCACCAACTTGGAAGCTCCCCAAACCCTGTACTCCTGCAATTTTATGGAGGCTTTCTCACATAGGCATGAT